AGAACCATTTTTGGTTCCACAAAGAACCATTCAGTCAAAGGTTCTTTAAAGAACTCTAGACAAAAAGGTTCTTCTATGGCATCGTGAAGCACCTTTATTTTTAAGAGTGTAGTGATGTAGGTATGTGGGGGCGTGTTAGAACGAGCCGTTTTAGGAGGGTGTGGTTAACTCTTAACTTTTATAAAGAATATCTCTTTGGTTTTGAGACTTTAGTCTTTGCAACTTTACAGATCTTCTTTATGCACCAAGAGCTTGTAACACTCCAAAGAGAAAGGAAAAATTGAAATCGCATCATATGACCCCTTTAATATTGTAGTGAACAGCAGGCAGAGAGAATGTTAAAATTTTCACTTCAGTGTGACAGTGTTTCTGTAAACAACATAAACGGATGCCTTTTGCCCTCAGATAAAACAACACTTCTTATGACGACAAACAAAAAAGTATCTGAAGCCATGAAAAAGAAAGAAAAGAAAAGAAGGCTCTGGATTTTGACTATTTTTGACCAAATAAATGGAGACTTGGTGAGCCTAAGACACCTTTGAAAAACATTTTAAAAAATAATAATAATGTACAAAAATGTTGAATAAATTGGCACAAGGTAGCTGGCAAGCAGGGGGCAGTTAGCTCCTGCTGGTAGATGCCATAAGTACTCTGTTATAGTGGCAAAAAGCGTGCTTCTTCATAGATGGCCAGGTTGCAACTTGGGCCTTGGTTTCACTCTCTTCCCTCATTCCAATTCAATCACTTCAATAAATAAAAAAAAGTCCCATCCACACATTATTACAGCTTGACATTCTGTTTCACTAAGACATGTCACTTTAAAGAAGTAAAATGCAATGCAAATGGCATTTCATGTTGTCAAGACATTGACACTTCATACTGCAAAAGCTAAAGCAAACAAAAAGTACAAGTAACTGTAAACAAAAAACAAAGTAACTGTAAATGTAATAATTAAGTGCAGAAGAGCAGTTGTACCTGCTGTTGGGAGTTGTAGTCAAACAGGCCAACTGGAGCACCAGATGAGTCCACCTGGATCTGGTTCCCAGCATAGTCAAATTGGAGTGACTCCATGCCCACCTGATGCTCCATGCCCCCCATGCCGCCCATGCTCTGGGCTTCCTGGCTCTGGAAGTCCTCAGTGGGAGGTTTGTTTGTGACAGGGTTGGGTGGCTGCAGAGCATGCGGGTGGTGCTGTGCCAACCCGGCCAACCCGGCCTGACTGTGCCCCAACCGTTCTACTGCCTCTGTGGGGGATGCCTGGCGACTAGGGCTGTAGGGGCTGTAGAAAATAAGATTTTAATCAAAGTGTGGATACTGACAATGACATTGTTGCAGTTTTACTAATTGCTATTCTATTAAAGGCCAAAAAAGTTATTACAATTTTAAAATGTATGATTCAGCAACATTAACTGAATCCACACAGGTCTAGTGTCAGCTTCGGACTGCCAACAAAAAAAGCCTATAAAGGTTCATGGTAGGGATGTCAACGATTAATCAATGATCGATTAATTGTCGATAAGAGATGCGATCGATTAAAGCTATCGATGGTCGATTAAGCTATTTAATTTTGGGCTGCGTGCGGCTCATGCGCAAAACACGTGCAAGTGGTTGTGAGTGACGGTGACGGTATATAAATGCATCATCATTCATAATGTACAAATTAAGCTTTTAATGTGATTAAACTTTAAAAGTACATTAAAATAGAAACAACACAAAGTTCTTCAACATGGAAAGCAATAGAAATGTAGTAACTAAGTAATTTCCCCAGATAATTGTTTCATATCGTGTGCTTTGCAGGGCTGCGGGACACAGGACAGGACAGATAGGCTATTTGTTCCTACGACTTATTAATTTGTAGCCAATGTCCATGTTTCATTAATTTTGTTCCTTAAATTACCCATGATTTAACTAAAATGAGGGAACAAATTAATAATTAATTCATGGCCATCAGAGGTGGAAAGTAACAAATTACATTTACTTGCGTTACTGTAATTGAGTAGCTTTTTTGTGTACTTCTACTTTTTTTAAGTAATTTTTAAAATCTGTAATTTTACTTTTACTTAAGTATATTTTGTTTGAAGTACTGTACTTCGCTACATTTTAAAACACATTAATTACTGAGTAAAAAAAAAAAAAATCGCTCCCTGGAAACTACTGCAGTAAATAATGGGCAGGAGAGCAAACTGGCTCTAAAATCACAAAAAAAGATGGAGACGGTGGTGCAGAGCAGACCCAGCTGAAAACGAAACCCCCTCGTATTCTGCTGAAG